AGAGTGTTTGCCGCTCCCTGGCTTAACCTTACAGCTTTCCCTTAGCAGCATTTTTGGTTATTAGAGTGGTAACATCGGAAAAAAAAGTAGGGGAGGTAGGGGAGTGATGGGCAGTTGGGAGACACGGGCACCCCCTCGTAATTCCAGTTCAATTGTAAAATTTATTTTATTTTTTGTTGGTTGTTTATTTTACTCATTGGCAAAACTGTTCATCCTTAAACTATTTGTCATTTCGTTCAGTTGTTAAAGTTACACGCTCTTTAAAGTTAGATGCGCGTTAACGTGAACATTTTGTTGTGGTTTCACCATATATAATCGAAGAACCAGTGAAGGTAAGTACTTTATTTTAATTTTATTTCCGTTCTATATTTTCTAACGTATATATTAACCTATAATTCATGCTAAAACATCTAACCATAAAACTTCACAGGAAACTTAACTTAAAAAAGAATGCAGAGGGAGCAATGGGCAGTTATTTTGAGGGTGGTTTGGGCATGCCCAATGCTCCCACCTTTAAGTAATAGTACCCGGTTGACCGAGCTTTGCTCGGTATTTTTCGCTCGGTTTTTTTTTAATTCGTCTGTTTTGGAAATTATATTTAGATACAAATTACATACTGATGAAATACGAATAATATTTTTGGATCTTAGCGACATAATAGAAAAAACTGAACTGGTTATTTGAATAAAAAATCATGAGTGCAATTAATTTAATTTAAGTTTTCGTGTTTTTAAAAAATACTAAAAAAAGGGCACGAAAAAATAGATTTTCTAAAAAAAGAAAGGAACTTGAAAAAAATTTAAAAAAAGTCGATCGGTCGGTCTGGGCTCGAACCATGGTATTAAGATTTCGTGACCGCCCATTATACCAATTAAGCTATTTGTAATCATTAACAAACTGTCAAAATTTACCTTCTTATTCTAACGATATTGTAGCAGTTTTTCATTGCCTAAAAACACGGACAAAAAGACATTTTCTAAAAAAATAAATCCTAGCTAGATCGATTTATTGCCCCCGAAACTCCCTGCATACAAAATTTTATGAAAATCGTTGGAGCTATTCTTATATATATATATTTATATATATATATATATATATATATTATATTTGTTATATATATATATATATATATATATATATATAAGAGTTGCTCGTTTAAAGGTATAAGATATATAGTGAAACAGTTTGTTTTACGTTACCAAAATTAAGTTAAAATGTTTAGACGATTTTGATTGCAGAAGGACGCTGGCGGTATAAAATGACTACAGTACAGGTACGAAAGACAGAATATTACGTGCCATAGAAGTGTCAAAAGGCGGTAACATAAAAACAACTGGTGAAAATTGAATAAAACTAAATTTACGGATTTTATCGCGTTTATTTCACTACTTTTACTTATTTTTAATGCCCGACGTTTCGGTTGCTTTACAGCAACCATGGTCACGGAGGGGGGGGACTGAGATGTTTGACGTCCCAATGTCATTGTTAGCCCGGCTACCTTCAGTTTTTGAATATTAATTTTTGGTCCGATTTACGCAAAACGAACTTACAGTATCTTGAATTCTTGCAGTGGTATGCTTGGGTTTGGGTTTAATTTGGATAATTATAGGATCCCAAGCACATGGCAGCACCCAACCATCTTCTCTATTGAAATTAGGATGTTTTTTTTTAATTTCAATAGCCTCGCGTATCATCCTTGGTAGGAATCGGTGTTCTTTTGCGAGGACTTGTGGTTTATCAAATCTGATGTAATGGTGGAGACGATCTTGAACATGTTCACAGACTGCAGACTTCCCGGAGCGTCGGATCCGACCCCCCGTATACCCCCGTGACCATGGTTGCTGTAAAGCACCCGAAACGTCGGGAATTAAAAATAAGTAAAAGTAGTGAAATAAACGCGATAAATTCCGTAAATTTAGTTTTATTCAATGTGTAGTGTTCGCGTAAATTTAAGAAATCATTAACTGGTGAAAAGTTTGAAAGACTTAAAATAAACCTGCTACGATATCTTAAACAAGAATATGTATGGGATTTTTCATCCAGGTTTATATCTTCACAAATTTTCGGTTTATATTATGTATCGTGGGTGTTTGAAACGTCATGCCCAAATCTTATACAAGGGGTGCCCGAACATCACCACCATGGGGAGCTTTGGGCACAATTGACATATTTCTGAAATCCTTTTGTACCTTTGAGGCTTATTATAATTTGTAGAATTTCTTTGTAAAACATCTTGCCAAATGTATGCTGAACTAATAAATTGAACTTGCCAATAAATATTGGATACCCATATCAAAAATGTGCTTTTTAATTACCTCATATGTAAAAAAGTGCCCATCCTTCCCCTACCTCGCCGAAAATTTCCGTAAAAAATTGAAAGACAGATTTTTATAAAGTAGTTTATTTTTTACTACAAATAAAAATACAAAATAAATAAACTTAAACACAATATAATTAGGTCCATATAAAACGATTAATTTAGATCTATCTATATAAAACACAGAATTTTTTTACTAGTATAAGAAGTCTATGGTTTTTAACTATTTCCATTATAGACTTTGAAATCATGAAACCGATTTTGATTAAATTTTTGTGTGTGTTTTAATATGTCCCTAGATGGTCCATTTGGATCCGGTGAAGCTGTTTCGAGATCCAGAAATCAACCGTGCGAAGTCGTGCGAATGGATTCCTAGTTATATTATACAATTACTTACAAATGATTTGATGTCTAAAATATTCATAAAATTAATGACATCCTCCTGTCATCGATCCCATCGATAAAATTATTAAAGTACTCTATAATCGACCCTCGTAAATTTATAAAAAGCACCTGAACGATCGAACTTCAAGAGAAGTTAGAAAATACATTTTTCAGGCATAACACCAATTTATATGTATAATCTTGAAAATAAAACATTTTAGGCAAACCAATTGAATATAATTTATGTTTTTGTATATATTTAGTAGTTTTTAAGTAAATACCTATATAAACATGATAATAGAATTGCTCTTTTAAAGTTTTTAGATATTAAAATTGTTAAAACAATCTTATATATAAACACACTTGCACTGTGTATACACCCAATTTACTACAAACTAGGAAAAGAAATTATGAGGTATGTGAAACGATACAAGCAAAATCTACTTTCGCCCAAAAGTTTTATGGGTACAGAATAGGCAGGTTATATAATAAGGTTAATAAAAACACTCAATTTTTCAACTAACAAAATATAAATGTAAGAAAAAATTAACAGATTGGCTTATGAAATTAGATTACGAAGAAACAGAGAATTTACTGTAAAAGCGGAATAGTGAGATACACACACACACACACACACACACACACACATATATATATATATACGAGGGTGGATTGAAAAGTACTCGGCCTAACCAAGAAAATAAACACATACTAAATCAGTTATATTTTTATTTTTCTACATAATCACCATCAAGTTCAATACACTTTTGCCACCTCCCCTTCCAAGCATTTAGACCGTGGAAAAAAAAATGATTCCTCCTTAGAGTCAAAATATGCGTCTACAGCTGCTTTGACCTCGTCGTTTGTCGAAAATCTTTGACCTCCCAAGTGCTTTTTTAGGTTTGGGAACAGAAAGAAGTCTGATGGTGCTAGATCAGGTGAATACGGCGGATGCGGTAACAGTTCAAAGCCACAGTTGTGAATTTCAGCCATTGACTGTACTGACGTGTGAACACTGGCGTTATCTTGATGAAACAGGACTTTTCTTCTGAGCATTCCTCGACGTTTTTCTTTTATTTCCTCTCGTGAACAACGTAGTAAGGTGCAGTAGTAATCAGAGTTTATAGTCTGACCCCTTTCAAGATAATCAATCATAATCACACCTTTCAAGTCCCAGAATACTGAAGCCATCACCTTATTTGCCGACAAAATCGACTTAGCCTTTTTAGGGGGTGGTGAACCAGGTCTTCTCCACTGTTTTGATTGTTGTTTTATTTCCGGTGTACAGTAATGAACCCATGTTTCGTCCATAGTAACAAAACGATTCAAAAAATCATCTGCATCGGCTTCAAATAACTCCAAACAGTCGCGTGAAATAGTCAATCGCGTCCTTTTTTGTTCAACTGAAAGCAGTCGCGGAACCCACCTCGCAGACACCTTGTGGAAACCCAACTCGTTGACAATGATGTTTTGAGTTCGTTCATAAGAGATGCCTATAATCTCGGCTATCTCTCTAATTTTTTAATCTGCGGTCTCCCATTATTAAATCAAGTACTTTTTTAATATTTTCGTCAGTAGTTGACGTCGAAGGCCTTCCAGAGCGGGGTTCATCTTTCACACTCTCTCTACCACGCTTAAATTCTGCTATCCATTTTTTGACGGATGAATATGACAGAGCACAATCGCCTAATGTACTGACCATGTCATCATGGATGGCTTTTGGTGATAGCCCCTTCTTATGGAGGTACTTAATGACGGCACGCTGCTCGATTTGCTCCATTCGCGGAAATTATGTCCGATTACTTTCTTAATAAATTTATAAAATCACAACTAATTATCGCACACGTTTCGAACCTCACACAATGAACTAGTCTGAACTGAACTAAATAATGTGGGTAGATTTGATTTTTAGAATTGAATGGATCTGTGTTAGGCCGAGTACTTTTCAATCCACCCTCGTATATAAAATTTTGATTATATACTTTTATTATTATCATTTAAAACATATTGCATATTATATTTATTCTATATGACTTTAATTGTAAATTACACTTTGGAAATCTCATATTCGATCTCCACATGCAACGCTCACTTCATGTCTAAGTACAGTATCATCGAAAAGTATCTAATAAAGCCAAGAGGGAGAGCCAGGAGACCCATAGCACAGGGTAACCTAGTTTGGGCTCCTGTCTCTCACAGCTACTCAAAAACTCTTTAACTATTTATGAAACTATTGTAACTATGTAAAAAGTAGGAGAAATAAATATATATTATTATTATTATACGAATAAATAGTACATTACAAAGCTAGACCATATTTAGCAAGTTTTGCAGGGGCGTAAACTGTCTCCACGTTTGCATCTTTCCGCATGGACTTTATTCCAGTAGAACTGTGGTTAGATTTGTTACAACTTTTCAAATTGTTTTTTGGAATGATCGACGTTGAACAGATTTCAGTTGTGTCATCTAAGTAATACTTATTAAAGTCGTCATTCGTATTTTGAAAAACATTATGATAATAATAAGGTTCGTATTTCTCATTTATTTCATCTACCTTGCGTGTTCTAAAACCTGGATTATCCAGTAATCTTGGTGATTGAAATTGTATTGACCTTTGAATTACCTCACCTTCCTCTTTACTTGCTTTATTAGAAACCCTTTTATCTTCATTTCCATCATTTTCACTAAAAAATAAATTTTTATTCGTATTAGAATTGTTTTGTATTGCAAGCACTTTCTTTTTGTCTATGTTATTTTCAAATTGATCATTTTGATTACTTACGTAGTTATATTTGTTTCCATGATATTTTCCAGGAACATTTTCTTCCTCATATAACTGCAAGATATCATTGTCCGCTGTAAAATATGGGTAGTAATCGTCATTCAAATCATTTTCAAAAATTATTGGTACTGCGTTTTCCATACCAAGTATAAGCGATGGATGAGAGTTATAATAAGGAGATTCTTTGAAAATTATATTATTGTTATGAATTAATAATTCATTAGAAGTGTTATTGCCTACATCTTCATATTCATATTTCAAATTCATATTTTGTGATTTAGAGAAACTCTGCTTTTCGTCGATTGTCTTTGAACTGTCCTTTAGTTGACTTATTCTTTCACTTGATAAATCAGAAGTGTGAATGAAAATGTTACCAACATTCGAATCATTAGTATTATTATTTAATCCATTAAGTGTTTCAACATTTGGTTTACTTTTTGATGATGCATTTTTAAGTTTTACTTTTTTTCTAGTCGGTTTTCTTTTGTGTTGCTTTCTACGCCGATGAAATTTTCTTTTATACCCAGAAGGTTGTGAAATTTGATGAAGGTTTTTAAAGTACAAAGGAATATCATTACTGAAATAGTTATTGTTTAATTGATAATTAGATAAGAAAGCATCAAAAAACTTATGTATATTACTTGTTTCGTCGTGTATATTGGAAAACTGATGAAGTTGGTTCATTGGCATTTGAATACCTATTTCATTTTTTGAAATATTTTTACGATTAATATTTTGTTTAATTCCATCAGGATATATATTATTAGTATGTTTATTTTTATGATTATTTACCTTATCCTGTTTAGAATGCTTTTTGTGCGGCAGTTCGTTAGCTTCTTGTTGTTTTTTGTTTTGTAAAACAATTTGACTTTTTGAATTGGTAGTATTCGATTTTTTCAAACTATTTTTATGCTTCCTATTATTATTTGTTACATTGGTTTTATTTAAAACGTTCAAAGGCGATTGTAAGTCTAAAAGTGATTTTCCGTTTTCCTCTTGCTGTTGAGCGATTTTAGTATCTTCTATTTCATTTCTTATATTTGTATTGATATCTTCATTGCTCCAAGTTTCGTTTAATGAATGTTGTTTAGGCTGAAATTCTTTAGTTTTGAAGAGATGATTATGTAGCTTAGATTTATTTTTTTCATGTAAGCTTTTCTTTAGTGCATTTTTCATCAAATCTTTTTTGTTACTATGGTTGTTTACATCCGCTGAAACTGTTTCCTCGCGTTTTGGTACGTGTGTTCTTTGCTGATTTTTATTTAAATTTTGTTTGTTTCTTACAACTTTTTTTGAAAATTCGCTTAAGTGTAAGGTATCACTAATGGTAGGTTGGTTGGATGTTTTTGGTACATCTTTGGGTCTCTTACTTGCGTTCTTTTTTACTCTAATACAAGAATTTGGATCGTTGAAAGCACATTTTACTTGACTACCGCTGCTATCTAATACGTCCGGGGGCAATATTATGTAATTATTAATAATATTAGGTATTCTTTCTGAATTTTGCATTTCATTTTGTAAAGCGTAATTGCTGCTCTGAAAACCTCTTAGGATATTTAGTAAACCCGGATTATTTATAACACTATTATACAACAATTGATCTATTACAGAGTTTGGCTGATTTTCTTTATGTAATAATCCTGCAGGGTTAGGCAAGGAAATAGTGGGAACAGCAGATTGAATTTTACTTATACGAACGTCGATCGGAATCTTCGCATTTATGTTATTAGCTTGGTCCCAGAATAGTGCAGGATTACCTTTAAGTAACACTTCTTGCTGAGTAGGAATCGTCACTACCTACAATAAAGAAGAAATAGAACTATAAATATTTTTCCTTTCTTCCATAATACATGATTTAAATTATATTCCTAGAGATATAGATATTATTAAGGAGTTTTGTAATCACCACTACTATTTTTTTACTCAAATTAAATTAGTACTCGTATCTTCCTTCATCAATGCTATCAAGTAAGTGAAATAAATGAAAAAGCAAATGAGTTAAGGATATATTTAAACTGGGAAGATTTTTTTATAGAATAAGGGGATAAACAAACACACAGTCCTCCTGATGGAAAGTGGTTGTGGTCCATAGACATTTAGACCTTTTTATATTAAATAATTGATTTAAATTTTCATAAAGAATCAAAAAAATACTACTACTATAGATGTAGTATCTTCGTTTAAGAATCAAAAAAGAGATGCACTGCCACCCCTGAGGACCTAAGTGAAATACCTCTTTAGAAGTGAAATGGGTCTCCGATTCTCTACACTTACCATGGGAAACACAACAGCATTATTTAGTGAGAGTGTTGTCCTACCCCAGTCGAGCCGAATGATTCATGCTACAACCATAACATAGCTACAGCATGGCCATACCCCGGATAAAATATTATAGCAAAAGGTGCATGGTATTACTCATCTCGAAGGAAGAGATAAAATAAACGGCAGCATGAGGAACCTGTTTTGCATAATCATACTACATACATCATTATACTGGAAGTAGTTAATAAGATGTGAATTTTAGGTGACTTTAATTTCTTTTATTACCTCATATAATAAAGAATAAAGGAAAGGAGTACTAAATATCATAATTTGGAATGATCTAATCGATCGCCATCTAATTGTGGAACTGTGACGCGGTGCAGCGTCTTGGGAGGGCGGGGGGTGCTGTCTGTTACTGCGATTTAGCTATCAAACATTTATTTTATAGCAAATCCTCAACTCTTGAGACAGTTTTATTTTACGTGTTTAACGTTTTTAGTTTGACAGTACGTGGTAGAGCCACGCTACAGCTATTTTATGGCTGCATCACGAATGGGTCGGCTTGGGGGTTGGATTACGTTCTCACGGAACACCACCGTAAAATAGCAGTTTGATGCTGATTTCTTTTGTATGGTGAATGTAAAAAACCAGAGGCACTTTTTACGGAAACGAGGGATTCCATCCTAGTTCTCAGGGCTAGCAACGCATCTGCATTTTGATTCTCAATCGGATATAAATGTAGTTTTCTATGGGCCACAATATACACTTACCATCAGGTGAATTGTGTGCTCGTTGGTCACCCTTATTCTTCAAAAAAATGTCCAGCTGTGGACTGCTTTTTAAATACTAACTGTAAATGGCTAGATTTGAGTAAGGTTACTAAACGTCAATAGAGAATATACATATTACTACTTACTAGCGTACTAGCTAACCTTTATTGCCGTCTGGAAAAATGTTGTGTAAGAGATAAACAAAGTAGAAGTCTGATATGCTATAGATATTTGACAATCTTTTCATTAACATTAATATAACATCGATCTAACAATAAATACTATTAATTTGAAGTATCTAAATTTTTACCAAGCACATAGTTTGAACTTATTTATTTCAATTGCTTTATTTTTTCTTTCATTTCTTGAATTTAAAAAGTTTCTTTATTAATAATAATTTGAAAATTATTTTTGCATAAGGCTTCTACTCCAACAATTATATTTTCAAACGGTAAAAAAGTTTCTTCTAATAATAATAAAATATGCAACTAAAATATATTTGCATTTTTCATATATTTGATATCTGAACCTAAGACCAGTCTATAGGTTCAGCGGCTAACGTATTATAAAGTTAAGAAATTTATAAACAAAATTACACGAGTAAATGTGTACAAATCACTAATAAAAATATACAGCAAATTAATTTTAGAAATTTTAACAGTATTGGCACATATTAAACGCTTACCAGTGCAATTAACAAACACGTGTATAAAATTAATATACTTGTAATCATTATGTAACATCATTCACAAATCAGAAACACAATAAATAATACATTAATTAATAACACAATTGTACAATATCAAACGAAATCTTACAATCAAGTACGTGACTTTTGTATATACTTCAGTATTTTATAACTGACAGACTAACAGTGATACTGAGTTGATAATTATCTGTTATTGATCTTGATTGATCACGACTGTGAATGCTGTAAGAATAACATGTACGTATACCGCCTTATTACAAAAACCAGTTTATAATGTTTGTGGTCTCAGTTTCATGCGAAGTAAAATATAAAGTATGGAATTTGACAACAAATGCTTTTTGACAGCAATTTGATGGCTCATCATTAATTTGTGACAAACAAATAGGTGGTTGTAAAGCCTAATAATGGGTGCGTTTGGCAGAAAAAAGCGCTAGCAAGCGCTTGTAAGCAAAACGGCGAAACTAAACAGTTTTCGGCCAGGACACGTTTGCTAACTTCAGTAGCGCTGACACAATCCGCCATTTTGCTTATTTAATTTGTTTGTTTTGAAGTAGAGTTTATGAGTTGTTTTGTGCAATATTAGTTTTAAGTAATGTAATGACATGAATAGACATATACATGTTATTAAAAATCATGATTGGTAAGTTTTTAATATGAATAACTTTACAAACACATATTTAAATTAGGTTAGGTTCCCCGGTTAAAACTTACTTCGTGTCCTAGAGGAAAATAGCTACTTACGATTTGACAGCGCTTACCGCTTACGATCGCCATTTTGCTTACAAGCGCTTGCTAGCGCTTTTTTCTGCCAAACGCACCCAATAATTGTTCTAGATGTTCATCCTTGTGAAATTTATGTATGTAACTGAACTTCATTATAGAGAAGAAAATCTTAGTGTGAGGGTAGTTACTGCTACTGTTACTCCTCTTTAAGATACAAGTGGTAAAATTAAAAATTTTGTACAATCGATATCAGTTTAAAAAAGCGGTCTAGGTGTGACCCGATAGGTCCACATGGCTAACTGCCCAGTGGAAAAAAATCATATGTTTTAATATTTTATAACATTTTTCATTCGGCACAAAAAACGACTTGACCAATTTTGCGCAAAATTTATAGAGGTGTAAGTTACATAATTATGCGTTAAATGAAACTGGTCCCATGTCAATATTAGTCTTTTTTTGTCGAGATACACGAGGCGAAAATTGAATCCAAACATACATACATACGTAAAACCATACTATTCGACTCTAAAGACCTTGGAACTTGGAGATATGTTTAAATTTCCAATTTGCAAAATCGGACCCATTACAATAACTTCCCACTGGGAAGTTAATAACATCAGAGAGAACATCATCAATGTAGTCGAAGTAATTTATATACGCATTATTATGGATAGCTAAAAAACTACTGGTCAGATCTTAATTAAATTTATCTGAGATCACATAATAAGCATCAGCTTTCAAACAAAAAAAAAGAATCATAAAAATCGGTTTATCTAGAAAGAAGTTCTGAGGTAACACACAAAAAAATACTGTCGAATTGAGTACTTCCTCCTTTTTTTGAAATCGGTTAAAATATAACGTCAAATATCGCAACAGGCCTTCTTTTTCATAGCAGGCTCATCCTTTAACCTCAAAGCGATAATGTTTGAAGTCTTAATTTATTTAATTTATTTATTTAACAATTTATTTACACACGAACAAGGGAGAGGACACATCATGATGAACAGTTTGTACAAGGGCTCTATTTATAACGATGGACTATTAAATCTACATCCCATAGTTAAATCAAAATAAAAAACTTTCGATTGTTATAGGTGGAAGAACCATGTAGCAGCGTTTATTGTCTGACATATACATAGACATAGACATATAGACATAGACATGCATTTATTCAGCAACTTACACTCATACAGTTTTGATACAGAAAATAATATAATACATAAAAACATCAAAGATAAAAGTAAATAACAAAAACAGTCATAAAATGATCCAATTGCATGAGTGATGTGATGCTGAAAAGGGCACTGACTCAAATTATGCTATCGCAGGATTGCGGTAGCGTTGGTTTTCAGCAATGCCCATTGAGGTTGGACTCGCCTGCGAGGATAGTATGTTTGCTTTATTTCTATTTTCGAGAAAGATGTTATCAAAATAATAAAATAAAATAATGGTAATGAAAAAGGATGGGAACTTTATTTATGCAGTAGGTATATATAAATGTATATAATAAATAATATAATGAGAATTTACAATAAAACAATATAGATATTTATATTATACTATGAAAATATAATGCAGCTATTTTATCCGCCCTAAATGTTAACGTGACAAAAATATTCTTTTACTTTTACCTTGAAAAGGCTGATGGTATTTAGTTGGCGGATAGGTGGGGGCAAGTTGTTCCAGCATTTAGTAGCTGCATATCGGAAACTACCACTGAATGCTGCCGTTGTGTGTTTTGGTATTGAAAGGACATTTGATTTTGTTCGAATGTCCTTAAAATTACCGTCCTTGCGCCATTTTAATTTTTCTAATAGATACCCGGGCTTTTTGTTTTGAAAGACACCGAACATTAGTGTTGCTAAATGTAGTGCTCTTAATTGGGACATTCTTAATAACTTTGATTTATTTAAATAGGGACTGACGTGCGTTCGTGGGGGAATGTGGTGTATATACCTGGCACAAGCATTTTGGATCCTCTGAATTATTCGGTCAGTTTTCGAAAGTAGCCTTGGTCCATATACCGTATCGGCATAGTTTAGCCTGAAGAGTACAAGGGAGTTGCAAAGCTTAATGCGCAGATCTTCACTCAAAAAGTCACGTATTCGGTATAATACTTTTAGTCTGTAAAAGCAATTACGTGCGATCTCGATCACGTGTCTCTCAAAGCGAAGCGCGTCATCCATAAGCAATCCCAGATTCTTAGCTTCAGTCACACGATTTATCTTCTCCCCGAGGACACACAGATCAGGATTATTTGCAACTATTCGATTTATCTGTCGCTTTGATCCCAATGTTTGCTGGATTGAGTACAAGAGTGTTGGCTTCTGACCACTGGGCGATTTTCGTTAGATCTCTATTTAAGTTATTAACAGCCCAGTTAGTTTGACTTGGTACAAAGGAAAGATATACCTGCAAATCGTCTGCATACATATGATATTTACAGTTCTGAATGGCTGTACTAATATCTGCTATATACAGTATGAATAAAAGAGGGCCTAGTATGGATCCTTGTGGAACTCCTCTCGTTACAGGACAAGGACTTGATAGAGTATGTGTACCATCTTTTTTAATTATTTTAACCAACTGCATGCGATCATTTAGATAACTGGAGAACCACTTGATTGCGGTTGGATCGAATCCGTAATAGGAAAGCTTGGACAATAATAATTCGATGTTAAGAGACTCGAAAGCTCGTGAGAAATCAAGTAGTGTCATGATTGTTCCTTCACCTATATCTTGAGATGCTAAAATATTGTCCACTACGTCTAATAGTGCTGTTGTCGTGCTGTGATGCTTTCTAAAACCCGACTGCAGTTTTGGTAGTATGTGATTACTCTCCAAGTACGCTTCAAGCTGTGTACATACTACTCTTTCCAGTATTTTCGACAAGCAGGGTAGGATGCTGATAGGGCGCAGGTCTTTGAAATTTATAATGCTATTGGTTTTTGGAATTGGTGTAACCAAAGCGGTTTTCCAGACGTCAGGGAAATAAGACGTGGTTATCGATCTGTTAACTATCGCGGTGATTACTTTTAGCGTGTAAGGAAGTGTTAAAACAACCATATCCAGGCATATGCCGTCAGCGCCCAAAACGTTTGACTTAAGTAAATTAATTATTTTGGCTATTGTGTTTTCGTCTGTAACACTTAACTTGAATGTTGAAGGGCAAAATCGATGGGAGCCAAAGAAAACATGTTCTGAATCGGGTGCTGAATCATTTCCAGGTATATTACAAAAGTGAGAATTAATCAAATCCGGATCGCTGAGTTGGTCAGGAATTTCATAGTCTCTAGAATTTTCTGATATGTTTATTGTCCGTTTAAGATTGATCCAAAGAGCTTTAGAATTAGTTAAATTGCGGTTTATATGTTGATTAAAATAGGCCTGTTTTTCGCGGTATAACGCTGAGTTTACAGCATGCTTAAGTTCTTTGTAATAACTTTTATGCTTCTCTAATCTAGTTAAGCGAAAACGATTATGTGCTTCATTCCGCAGTTTTATCATTTCTCGAATAGTAAAGGTAATCCAAGGATATGTACGCTCTTTTACTTGCTTGAGCTTTAGTGGCGCGAATTGGTCAAACAGGCTTAACAGTACGAATTGGTCTGCTCGACTCGCACAGAATACAGTCATGCATTAGCATTATACCGCTGCTATATTTCGTAGGTTTAATTCTTAGGGCCGAAACGCATCTGCATCATCATCGTGATTATCACTCCCATACAGCTTTTCACAAGTCCACTACTAGACGCTACAAAGCACGGTTGAATCCATCGACTTCCTGCATATCTCACCAAGTCATTACTCCATGTAGTTGGGAGCCGTTCTACACTTCGCTTACGGTATGAGGCTGACATTCGATAACTTTTCATTCTCATTGGTTGTCGCTTCTTTAAGCCTTATGGCCGGCCCATTGCCACTTCAGTTTACTAATTCGTAGGGCTATATCGGTTACTCTGGTTCTACTTTGGATATCCTCATTTCTGAACCTATAACGCAGAAAAGCCCCGAGCATAACCCTCTCCATAGCTCTTTGCGCGACCTTGAGCTTTTTCATACGGCCAACAGTGAAGGACCACTTTCCAGATGTATATTCCATAACCGGCAACACACTCTGGTTGTATAATCCTGTTTTCAAGTTTTGAGGTATGTCTGACGAGAAGATGTGTCGTAATCTCCCGAACACTGCCCAACCGAGTCTAATCCGTCTATTAACCTCTCGATCAAAGTCAGATTTACCCAGTCAGATTATTTGTCCCAGGTGAATATAATCGTCAAAATGATTTCTTATATTTACG